GCTTCAGCTGGAATTACCGCACTCGACTCAAATGTTTCTTTGTAGGTATTCAAAATAAATGAATAAATAAATAGACTAACATTTTGCGCACGCCATATGTAAGTATAAACTCCAAGAATTTTCAAAATATACAAATGTTAACTAGGCTACAAGAATATTTTTTGATTATTGATTGTGCGAAGAACACTATGGAGACCCCTAGTAATTATGAAACTTTTCAAGAAATAAATATAGAACGAGATATGATAGACAACTGGTCATCACCATCAGATTTATAAAGTACCGGTAAGAATCGATTTCATTAAAATTCTTTTTTTTTAGATAGGCCTATATAAACCTATAACTTGTTAGTTTCTTAGATAAACGTGATGGACGGACAGACTTAGACGCCACAAAATATCAGCTTTTCACCTTTCGGGGGCAACTAATAAAATCAACATTAAGATGAGTTTCATTTGTGAAAGATTGAACTGCTTTAAAAAAAAAAAAAAAAAGAAACTACTTACTGGATTCGACATTTCTTACATAATTTATAATTAACCAATATTCCCTATGGTATCGCTCTAAATCAAACTTGACTAAAACACCAGAATATTTTAAAGGCTATAAATTGAATCATTGATGTAGGCCTAGGCACGTACCAGTTGGCTTAAATTACTATTATATGGTAGTTTCGTTGAATATATACATAAAGTCTATCTTTTGTGTGTGGTTATATATATATATATGCCTTATATTTATATAGATCTAGGACTACGTAGGCTAATTTGAGATAAGTTTAGACTAGTCACTACTAATAGGTCGGCACTGATCAGATTATTTATTATTGGTTTTAGAAATGCTGTGTATTCGAGCCAAATTATAAACAGGCAAAAGTAGAGTCGATCAAAATATTTTCAGGCAGCAGCGTCGCTAGGCAAGTGTCACCCGATGCGGTAACGTAGCTAATTATCTTCTTATCTTATAAAATACAGATGTTACTTCAAAAAAGATGATTATAGCACGTCCTTCGGGTATTCATACGTCAATCTAGTCATGCATGTTAATCAATGACTTAAATTCTGCCAAGTCATTGGTTTTCATGGCTGACTCATAGGTAACCCATTCCATGTTCTGAAAGCACTATAGGAAGAAGAAGTGTCTATATAATTCTCTTCATGGCTCAAGAGTTTGGACTAGAAGTAAAGGAAAGATCATTCGTTTATTTCTGCAAGTCGGACTAGAGTTACCCTACGAAAAAAAAAAGAGGGAGGGGAGAGAACAAGTAGTATTCACCCGTCACAAAATAGCAGTGACTGGCTTCACCGTTGTGACCAAGAAGTCATGGAAAGATCACTCTTTTTTTAAATTTCTACCCCATGTAGTTTAAGCGGCGAAAAAAGAGGAGGGGGGAGAAGAACAAGTAATCTACTCTGTATTCACCCGTTACAAAATAGCAGGGCCGGACTTAACCAATGTGGGGCCCTATACGAAACGAATTTCACGGGGCCAAGTTTAAGTAGGGATACGAATAATAAGTGAAAATTAAGAGTTTAAATTTGAAAATAGACTCGTCTTTGCATTTTATTCATTCTTTACTACGTACAGAACTAATTTTAGAGCCTGGCGTGTAGCGAAGTCATACATTATATCTTAAAAATTCTATTTCCTACATAGATCATGCTCAGTAGCAAGAATTAACAAAATTTTCAATCTATGTACGAGAATTGTTGACCTCAAGTAATTCTTCATTAGCTTGAGGTACGAGAAGCTTCTTTCACCAGATTCCTCAATAATGCCATTCCTTTTTCGCGCGTAGGATTTCATAATGAATGACACCCCAAAATGACAATTTTTGTCTATATGTTTCAGGAGATTTGTATGAGTTTTCAAAAGATTTTAATAATTTCAGGAGATTTCCAGGACTTTTTTGTACATTTTACAATATCAGGAGATTTCCAGGAGCTCCTGGTAAATCAGGCGGCCGCGGGAAATCTGTTATAAGTTATAAAATGGTTTAATTGAATAATTTACACCTAGAATTAGCGCGGTTCCTATGATTATTAAAAGTATAAACATTGCGATAAGATTTGAGAAGAGCCATTTATTTCTCAATACCTTTTTTGAGGCAGGACTTTGTTAATTGAACATTTAGTCTGAACTTCGATCGCTTGTGTGATAACAAAATCTCAATCAGCCCAGTCGGTAGGCCTACTTCTGCCAAACAAAAAAGTAAATCAAAAAGACTGTTTCTGTGATTTTACCTTTTTTTTTTTTAGTGCGACCGCAAAGAGCTTCAACAGTTGTCAACTCATTGATCAGTGTTTCTCAGCCTTTTACACGTGACTACACCCCCCCCCCCCCCGATAAAAATACATATATTTATTTATATTGTAGCCAATCAGTGTGGATATGGGCTTCCTCGATAGTCAAGTGTTTTTCTACATTCTGAGCTTTGGAAAAAAAATTCACTTCGGTGTCATTGTTACGTACAGATGAGACTTTTAATGATACAATAACAGACTCGTATATGTTTGATTATGATGACTTGAATCTTGAGTTACAATTAATAATGTGTTAATAATAACTTTGATTACATTCCTTCATTTTCGGATTCTATCCTCTCTTCCCCTTTCAACACACATACGCACCATTCCACATTCACACTATGCTGCGCACGTAAGAGTCATCCGTTGCGGTCCGCATCTTCTAGAGACGAAACTGTTTTCCAGGGGGTGGGGGGCAAGGCATGGAAATTACGCTAGGTTATCAATATTATGACAGTCATTGCAAATCTCTCTTCAACTTTGTTTTAAAACCAGTACTGCCTTAACTGCAAGATGATTGAGATTTTTTTAAACAACTGCTTTATATAGGTTTATGTTTAGGATGTTCTTCAAATTGAAGGAATATTAGCCCAAACCTCTCCCAGGACGGTGGGGGTGGCAGCGGGCAGAGTTAGAGCCCGGGACCATCGAGACGACAGTCCAGAGCAAATATCACACCACCATGCAGCCATTCAATAATCTTGAGAGATATAGTAATACCTGGTATAACCAAATTAGGCATGAAATTATTTTTTGATTCATGGTGAGCCATTAGGCCTATACCATAGAGACATAGTAGATAGGCCTAGTAAGTCTACCTCTAATGTAGTAGGTCAAGATGAATTCTTGAATGGAAGGCCAAGCATCAAGTCTTAATTGTCTACCAGTGGGTCAGCTAGTGGTTAATATGTTTGAATGCCACAAACTGTCATTAATTTAATAGGCTAAGTTTTTTATATTCCTCCAGAAATTAGGATTTTATTTACGACCAAGCCAAAAACCTCACGAAGAGCGGTAATAAGAGGTCGGCAAGGGACTACGCTTGTCATTGACAAGGATTGAATTCGATACCATCATGTCGACAGCTTGAAGTCATTGTCTATGTCAGTTGGATTTAGTTCAGTTGTGTAGGCGATAATAGGCACCTCTATTTCAATAGATTTAATGTGGAGTTATTGTCTACCCAAAAAAAAAAAAAAGGAAAAAAAAAAACAACAAACACACACACACAAAACCACAATAACTTCAAAAGGAACAATGCGCAGAACAAATCAGGAATACAAATTCCAAACACTAGAATTAATCATCCAATTTCACAATTATAAATAATTGAAAATCACAAAATTATGTTTGTTAAGCCGAACTAGTAGGCCTAATTTTAATTACCAGACTAGGACTAGGTCTAATAGATTACGTCCATTACATAACTTCTGTTTGTAAAATGTTTTACATGTTTCGGATGTTCCTTCAGAGTTGAAGATAGTTTACTTCCTAGTCCAAATCTCCCGTAGGACGACGGGGGATGGGAGCGGGCAGGATTTGAACCCTCGATAAATCCGAACGACAGTCCAGCGAGAAAACCGCACGACCAGGCAGCCATCCATTCTTGTAGGCCCAACTACAAAGCAAAAATATAATTGAAACTTTTAGATTATTTACCTTACCTCATAAATGCATAACACTTGCCGAGTTCCATTTTGATAGGTCTAGGAAGCCACAAGCCCTACTATACCTTTATGGTGACAGGCCACGAGGAAAATTTGAGACTGTATGCAGGCCCTAACCCACATAGAATTTGATGACGATGATAATAATCTTGTGTCACTGCCTTAGTTCATTTGATGCATATCTTTTGGAGGGATGAACTTTCAGTGTGCTGGTATAGGAAATTACAACATGACAAGAGGACCTTCAATTTACTGCACCATAAAGAATTATGTTTCTTTCTGTCTCACTCTCCACTATAGCATGAGTCACTGAAGCCCAAAGTATAAGTCCACGCTACATTTCTACGTTGCTGTCTACTTGTCATCTGACTGACCGCTTGGCTGTTGCTTTCACAAGATGGACACCTGTCTACAATATAAAGGCCTACTATATAGTTTAGCCCCTGTCCTCACCAGTGACATTATTAAAGGGGAAAGATGGAATGTGTTCTTTATCTTGAAACAAAATTATGCATGAAAAAAATTATCAAATTATATATGAATTATTGTATATTTATTTTCTTCCCAGCAAATTGAAAAATCATGCTAACTATACTTCACAAGTAAAGAACACAAGTTCAAAGGAAACTATTGCAAAGAAATAATAAAAGAAGACAATTGAGTAAATCATTATTATCAAAGAAAACATTATTTAGGGTAGGGCTAATGACCCTCCCCCAAAGAAATGAATTCCTCTTTTTAAAGATTTTCTGTTTCTCAAGTCTACTTTTTACTAGTGTAATATGTAATAAAAAAAAAAATCATTGAGTATATAAAATTTGATGTGACAAGAACTTTTAGATTGTGTTATATATAAATAAAATAAATACCAAAAAAAAAAACAGAGCAGTTTTTTTAACTGTGATGGATGTCTATTAAAAAGTGTATTTAATTATATTTGTATCTAATTACAAATGGAAACTTCTTGTAAGCCTAGGTTACAAACACAAAAACAAATCACAAACAAATGTTTATTTTAATGTAAAATATGTACAACCCCTATTTAAAAAAAAAGAAAAAAGAAAGCAAATTTAAAATGAAAGAAACATAATATTTTCATAATTAATCAAATTAAGAAATGTCACTGTTTTTATTTTGGATTTCATGTGCAATTTGACTTTCAAATGTACAGAACAGCTAACATAAAATTAAACAACAAAAACAAATTCCAAAGATAAGGATGAAAGTACATTTTAAAAAGTTTTTTTTTAATGTACTTATTACTTGGCATATAACTTCTCTTTAAAATATCTTTCACTCATCAACAAGGTCTTATTAGTGTGTGAAAGAGGAAGGAATAGATCAGACAGTTACTAAGATTGAGCCCTGTGTTGTTAATGTGTGAAAGAGTAAGGGTTAGATCACACAATTTCTAAAGGGATACATCACAGTTACTAAGATTGAGGCCCGTTTTTTTTCTCTCCATGAAGTGTTACTTTACAGTTCAAATTATTCCTTAATGAGGCCTCTCATGATCAAGTCTAAGAACAACTTCGCAAAAAATGAATTGGACAATAAAGATATAATTTTTTGACCTTCAAAATGAGTTCCCAAAACTCAAAATTTAAATAATCTATTTTTTTGGATCCCAGTAACTTTATGTAAAATAAATGTAAGTATATCAAGTATGTTCCAAAGAGAATTTCTCCATAGTGGAAAGTTTCTAATAGTTTCTTTTTTTTCCCCCAGAATATAGCATTGACAAGTATTTTATTTTAAATGACATAAATTTTAAATTATGACATTCTTGACCATAAAAAAATGGTATAAATTTGGACCAGGGAACAATATTTAGGAGGAGGGGAGGGGATCTTAAACAAAGTTACAAAGATTATTTAATTACATTGAGATTATTATCACAGCTCTAAACTAGACTTAGATTGAACTGATTACAGATGCTTGATTATTTTGTTCTTTTAAAGGTTCTTTGATATAAACTGTACATAAATAAATAAATAAATAAATAAATATATATATATGTACCTATCCATACACTAATCTTTAGATAATAAAATGAGTAGTTTATTCAAGGGATACTATTCTGTTTTCATTTTAACATACATAAATCTCCTATTTAAATTTCTCTTCTAATTTTAGAATCAGTGTCCAAAATGTTCATATTTTTAGATCTTGCATTTCTTAAAGTAATAGCATTACATATAGATCTATATATTTTGTTTTGAATGAACATATATATGAAAAGATAGATTCTGTGTCTGAATGGAAAAAAAGTTAAGAAAGAATAGTATATTTCTTTTAGGTGAACTTATCAAACTGTAAACTAGTTTGGATTTATTTCTAATTAAATCACCATACAAATGTGTCTCTGAAATAAATCAATGATAATTATAGCCTAACAAGCCAATGTGGGTGGCTTTGTTTTTTTCTAAAGGGAGTGAGCAGCTACAGAAAGTTACTTTGCTTCCTTTTTTTTTTTTTTTTTTTTTTGAAATGATCAACTTTGGTAGTTTATTGTCTGAAGAGATTAAACTGAAAAGTATATATTTTATTTAAAAGTTAATATTACATATGAAAATATGGATTACATTTTCTATGTGAAGACATGTCAATTTTTATTTATTTGTTTTATTTCAAATTAAAGCTTTAATTATATTCATGCAAACAGAATATTGAAATAGTACAGACCATTTCATAACCTTCCTGATAGAGGACATTTGTAACTGGTACCCCACAAATCTCAAGAACTGAATATTATAACTGAAAAAAATTATTATACTTATTAAATTTTTGAACACAGAGAAAAGATCTCACATCACAGGTTTTGAAACAAAATCAGATCATAAATCATCCTATACAATAAGTTGATTTAAAAAAAGATTTAAAAATTTGTAATTCCTACTTCATATTTTCTATTGATGGAATCAGATTTAGTTTAAAATACGAATTGTTTAAGTAAATGTTTCTAGTCTCCGAATTTGATTAAAATATAAGTAATCTAAACCAACTGAAAATGTATGTATACACAAATGGCTTGAATGCAATTAAAAATTAATGCCAAAAAAAATGTTGGTGTAAAAAGGCACAGATTTTAATAAAATGTCTATAAAAAAAATGTACAAAAACAATTTTGAACAGCAACAAGTTTTCAGTAGAAATGTGTATTCTACTCCTGTTATAGTTTGGTAAAACTTGTACAATTTACACAAGAAGTAACATTTTTTAGTCTGTTCTTCTTTAAATTATCTTGTGTTAAGAAGTAACGTCTATAAATTTTAAGATAATAGATCGATATACAATGTAGTTTTAAACAAATGTTTAACATAAAATATTTTAAATTGATGTTTTTCTTTTAAACATTAGAAATAAGTATTTAGATAAAATTTTTATAGATATGCATTCAGTCTACTTATGTTCTATGAATAAAGAAAATTATGTTGCTAGTATTTGTATAGCAATACTAGTTCTATGTTCATAATGTAACAAAACTGAAAATATTAGTAATGTTTATATAAAATTACATTAATATTTATTTATATATATTTTTCTAACTGCTTTTTATTATAAAAAAATAATATTTTTTAACTTTAAATAAATTTTTAACTTTAAAATAAAATACGAAATTAGTTAGGATAAACAATCTTGTATTTTACATTAACAGTAAGTTAGATGAAAACTTTTAAATCTGAAAATGTTAATAAAAAACACAAAAATCTTTCTAAATAAAATAAATTAAACAAACCAAATCTCTTAAAGCATTAATACAAGACAAATCCCAGAATGAAAAAAAAACTTAAGAAGGAATATAATTAAAATACTGATTTAAAAAAACAATACATGCTAATAAAAGGGCCTAAATTTAACCGTAGAACGAAATCATCTTCTTTTTTGAAGTAACGTCTATGTCATATAATTTAAGATGCAAGTAGAAACTGCTTAAGATAATAAGTCTTTATTTCTTAAAGCAACCTACTAATGTTTGGCATTTAAAAAAAAAAAGATAATTTAACAAGCTTACTTAGGACACCAAAATATTGCTTCATTTATCACAATAATGGAAATACAGTTTTACTGTTCACAACATACAAAATTCGAGCTTTCAATCTACAGCCATGAGGATTGTTACAAAAATTTTATCAACCTCGATTTTCATAATTATATAATTATAAATAAGAGCCATTGCTCTGTAAGAAGATCATTTTCCCTTTTAAACTATTGATTGACCAGAAGCTCATTGTTCAGGAGGGGTAACATATCTAGAATAAAGGTTAAGGTGGTAGAGCAGTGTTGTATGGTCTAGAATACAATTCAAAACTTTAATCCTGGAAGGATACTACTTTGATACTACTTGAGTTTCCCCAGTTCAAAAAATTGCTTGGAAATAGCTGAGAAAAGGCAACCTAACATTGTGAATGCCTCTTAAATTTAATGTTCCATTTGAGACTATACTGTCTATATAGCTATAAATTTATAAAATGGTTAATGTTTAATGTCCAAACCAATCTACATTACTCAACAAATGTCAAGTACCCCATGAAGGCAAGGCATCTTTCAGAAATGCTATGAAATACTTAGTAAAAAAAATAAAAATAAAATAAACTCTGTTATCCACTAAGACTTAAAACACCAATTTTTTGTCTTAATGGCCTAGAGCTTTAATTAGGGATTAATGTATATATTGGCAACATTTTAAATTATGCTCATCAATTCATTTTCCACTAACAATTTACAGTTTAAAATAAAAAACTTTAATTTTCGTGTCCTTACTTAAAACATTCATTGAAGTCACAATTTTTTAAAACGTCTTTTATTGCTAAGATACTCACAAAAGATACAAATTAAGAAAAAAAAAAAAAAAAAAATTTTCTATAATTTGAGCAGCTAAAGGTAGGTGGGGGAAGGTGTTAGTTTTTCTTTTAATTAACTATGATTAATTATGGTCCTTACATCACAAAGAGTCAATATTGATTTTGAGCTGTGTTTTGTGCAACTTTATATGAAGGCCAACGGCACATTGGACAAAAATGCTTGTCTCTATTTAACCATCTGATAATGCAAGTTTCATGGAAGACATGTCCACACGGCAGACCACAGAGGCTAATTTGAGGTGCAAAATCATCCAAGCAAATGACACACTGGTACGTTTCCAGGTAGCCTGAAGGAAATCCGCTGTTACAGGGGGATGAAGTTGAGACGTTAGCTTCAGATGTTTGGCTCCACTGGTTCAATGCCAATACTGCAGAGTCTGAAGTTTTGTTATCCAAACATAGGAACGGACTGGGCGATGAGAGGGATTCAGCTAAAGATGTAACAGCGCAGGAGCAGGCTACAAAAACTTTAGATTGTTCTTCAGGTCTTTGATCTGTTTGAGGGCTTTGTAGTGAAGAATAAGATTCTGAGCTGTTAGAGCTATTTACAGTTTGAAGTCCTTTCATGCACAGATTCTCAGGCTGATGTCCATTATCACATAGAAACGAAGGATTTTTCTTGGAAGAATGTTTATTTTTTTGACACTGACAGTGTAAGCTTACAGTACTGCTATGTGCTGATATTGTAGAGCAAGCAGCAATGTCCATGGATGATGATGAAAGTGTTATTTCATTCATTGCTTGTTCTATTTTGCCAATGTTCTCTTGCAACTGTTCTGAGATGGGTTTGGGAGAAAAGGGCCAGGTGGGAAGATATTTGATGTACTCTGGTGACACTGATGGTTGTAACCATAGAGATGGCTGTGAAAGTTGAGAGCCAAATATTTCAAGACCTCCCAGAAAATCTGAGCCACCTATCCTCATGGGTTCGAAGAAATCGTTGGGCCTGAGATAAGTCAAAGTTCTCATTTGTGCAAAATTAAACCAATCTTCTTCATGCTCTTCCCTCCTGTATTTCTTACATACAAGTGTAATAATAACAGAATAGATGAGAAAAAATGAGTAGATGTAAATAGGGTTATTCCCTAGGAAAATATAGTCACTTCTTAAAATTGTCCCCATCCAAGACATGCAGAAAATTCTAAATACTTTCAGAGCCAACTGTGGCATCCTGTCTAAAAATGGCATCTGGAATATTCCAATTATTGGCAACCATAACATTATAACAATGATATTATATTTCACCATGCACCATAAAAGTTTACGAACTCTTTTGAAAGCACCACAATTGCTGATAAACAGTTCAAACCATGACATGATGTTAGCCATACAAAAACTCAAAATGAAAATGTCATTTAGACAAGGGTAAAGGAATTTTAAAACTATTTCCATACTTTCAAATGAATAACGTTCATAGGGCTGGTTGCCATAAACATAAACATTTTCTTGAGAATAAATTTTATACGCTGGAAAGGTCAGAATATGATCCTCACTCAAAACATCCTTCCATTGTTGAATTTTGTTGGAGGAATCCATAAAGACAACTCCAAATTTCACACGTCCTGGAAATTTAACACTAAGTGCAGAAAAGAACATAGGTATATTTTGGTGCTTGGTAAACAAAACTGCCCGAATTTCCGATTCGATATGATTTTTAGAGAAAGATTTCCACTCCTGATGGTATTCAAGTGGATTTTCTATTTGTGTGACTTTTTCATTCAATTTTTCATGAACCCAATGCAGCACTGCTGTTTCCTTGACCGATCCGGAGTAATTGTACATGGCGACATTGGCTTTCTTTTCAAACTGACTTGGCAAAGCAAGCAATAAGAATGGTGATTTCCAGCCTTTACTGTAACAATATCTGTAAATTGAGAATTCACAACATTGTATATTTTTGTTTGAAATGATTTTAATGTTAGTTAAGAATAGTAGAGTTGCAAAAGGTCTATCCACAATTCAAGTTAACAATGTAATAAAAGTAAATAATTTTAAAAAAAGTAAATGTAATATTTTCATAACTATATTCAAAACAAAGCTTACTTGTAATCAAGAGAACAATCTAATATTCCTGTCCGAACACCAAATCTAGATACTTTCCCTCGAATGGCTTTCCACCTATCATAGCTGAGAATTCGCTGATGGTCACT